TGACTTTGACACACATACACCTACCTCCTGGAGAGTGTTCTTGATCTGGCCAACTGTTGTGAAGGGTGTTTTCTTCACCAGGGAAAGAATTCTTCGGTCATCCACCACAGTTGTTTTCCGTGGTCTTCCGGGTCTTTTGGTGTTGCTGAGCTCACCGGTGCGTTTCCTTCTTTTTAAGAATGTTCCAATCAGTTGTTTTGGCCACGCCTAATGTTTTTGCCATCTCTCTGATGGGTTTGTTTTTTTCAGCCAAATGATGGCTTGCTTCACTGATAGTGACAGCTCTTTGGATCTCATCTTGAGAGTTGACAGCAACAGATTCCAAATGCAAATAGCACACTTGAAATGAACTCTGGACCTTTTATCTGCTCATTGTAATTGGGATAATGAGGGAATAACACACACCTGGCCATGGAACAGCTGAGAAGCCAATTGTCCCATTACTTTTGGTCCCTTAACAAGTGGGAGGCACATATGCAAACTGTTGTAATTCCTACACCGTTCACCTGATTTGGATGTTAATACCCTCAAATTAAATCTGACAGTCTGCAGTTAAAGCCCATCTTGTTTGTTTCATTTCAAATCCATTGTGGTGGTGTATAGAGCCAAAAATGTTAGAATTGTGTCGATGTCCCAATATGTATGGACCTGACTGTACACACACATATTATATATATATATATATATATATATATATATATATATATATATATATATATATATATATTTTATACACACACACACGATAAAAAAAAACACTCCGCTCTCAGCCTGCGATAACTCCAGAATTCTATAAAATAAGGAACTCCCAAGTGCATAACCTCCACCTATCCCTGAAGGGTATCCTCTCACCTTCAATATTGATCCTCACTACAAGTTCAAACATGCATGTTATTTTATGCCAGGACTCCTCCAAATCCCATGAATCTTCAGTCCTTGATCTCCAGGACTCAGCTTTATGAGTTAATTAGTAACACCAGCCATTGGGAAGATGCATCCCACAATCAGACTCAAAAAGAAGCAGAGGAGACCATAGTGCTGACTACAAACCTTTTTAAAAAAACAAAAGGAACAAAAAATACAAAAAACAAACAAAATTGAACTCACATCAATAAGAAGAACACTCCATATATAAAAGGACTGGTAACAGAACACAGTCAAAAGAGCAGTAAATGGCAAACCCCCAGAAGCACAGATCCCTTCAGCTCGTACAGTCAGTTCTCTCCCAGATCACTGAGCTCTGCCAAACGTGTTTCGTCATTAGGGGTACTTGATATATGAAGCAGTATTATTTTTGAAGGGATACAATTTTATTTTTTTATATTTTTTCAAAGCTGCAGTGTGCATATAGTCTTCTTTGCTTCTTTTGGAGTCTGATTATGGGATGCAGTCCCCCAATGGCTGGTATTACTAATTGACCCATTAAGCTGAGTCCTGGTAACCAATAGATCTATAATGGAGATCCGGGATTTGGTGGAGCTTGAGAGATTATTAGCACCCACCTGAGTCTTGGCATAAAAACACGCATTTTTGAACTTTGTAGTGAGGGTCAATATTAAAGGATAAGATCACTTTTGGTAACATGTAACATGTTCCTGCACCTGCAGCTCTCCTCCCCGATCCCCTCATCCCTGTGACAGTAGGCATGGGATCTTCTCCCCACACCCGCTGTCACGATTTGTAAAGAGCATGGCCATGCAAGGTTCCACCCATGTGGCCACATTATTCAGTCACAGAGTTCCGTGAATGAATAGACTACAAGTACCAACAGCCCTTGCTGATCTTCCTGAACCTGAAGTAACTGCCTGCCTGTATCAGAGGTATGGGCAGACAGCTACACAGACAGTCTTCAGGAGCCTGACACTGCACCCGTGACTTGTGGATCGTGGGTGCAATGCTTTATAAAATAAATAAATGCATTTTTTTTTTACCTGCAAAAAAAGTGTGCATTTATTATTTTTTTCTAAAAGGTGAATTTATCCTTTAAAAGGGATCCCCTTTAGAGCACTGGTGTCAAACTGGCATTGCCAAACTACAAGTCCCATGAGGCATTGCAAGATTGGCAGTTACAAGCATGACTGCCAAAGGCAGAGGCATGATGGGACTTGTAGTTTCGCACAATTGGAAGGCCACTAGTTTGACACCCTGCTTTAGGAGGTCGATGGAGGTTATTAACCTGGCAGTGCACTGTATTGTTTATTTTGAAGAATTATGGACTTTGCGGACAGATCATAGCTTGCAGTGTTTTCACATACATAAAGGCTTCACACACTTCACGTTTTAGATGTTATTTTGTCACATTTATTATTTAAAGCTTATGTTGAAGCATAGGATTTATTTTTGATTATTATTATATTTGATTGCATTGTTGTATTTGTTCAGTGCAAAATGTTTATATATGAACATTTGGGCCGATTTATCACATAGTGCTTTCAGCTTCTATTTCAAGGCCGTTGCACAGCCTTTTTTCACATAGAATCCACTTTTTCCCATTACCTTAGTTTCTACCCCATAATCCTTAAAAACCTCAACCTCCGATCAGAGATCTCCAGTGTCTGTGGTATCTTGTTTCTGATCTATGATTTATTACACTATTAATACACTGACAACACTTTATACAGCCGAGTTGATAGCACTTCATAAATTAATAATTATGAACAGGCACGGTGTACGGGTCTGTGTGCTTATTCCTTATTTTGTCAGAATTGCAATTGCATTTTGGGTAAATAAAATCGAAATGAATGTACACATGGAATAATCGCCTGTTTCTATTAGGATCTAAAATTTTACTTGTAGTGATTGTGATAAATAATTATATGCAGCACTAACAGGCTGAAGTTCTTCTAAAGCAGATATTAGCTACTACCGATTAACATGTACTACACGCATTAACGCTTAACATTCCCCTTCCACACTGCAGAGTGAGGAATCCAAGTCTTACAGCTCTGGGGTATGACAAACAGATGCCAAGCTCATGTTATCCCAGAGACTGGGGGGGGGGGGGGGGGGCGGGGGGTAGGGGGGGGGGGGGGGGGGGGGGGGGGGGGGGGGGGGGGGGGGGGGGGGGAGGAGTGATGCCAGCCTATCCGGTAACATCATCCTCCAGCTCTGGGAATCAACAGATCTATTAACCAGCTAATAGCACTCATGGCAAGAGGGGGGCTGGGCTGTAATATTGGTCTGGTGGTATCTAGTTGGATTTAGTCACCTTAACCGCCCTAGCAGTCTGATAATTTCAGATTTTTGGTGCTGAAAGCGGTACCATTATTTTGCATGGAAATATATAGTTTTTTTATTGCAGGCTGTAATATTTAGGAATAACTCACTGAAATCTGTCCGAAAAAGAGTCTATTAAACATCCCGGGGAGGATAAAATTTGAAAACGAAAATCATAAATTATCATTTAATAAATAATCATAAAAAAAATAATAATATAATATTAATACATTTAATTCAATAATATAATCAAACCAAAAACACTGAAATTTGAAATATAGCGCCAAGTTCGCACATCGCTGAGCAAAGTCGCAAAATTGTTTTCAGTGTCTGATGATGAATTTCCCCCACGAATCATTATCACTCAATTCTGCAAGTGGTTCTGATTTACTATCGCTGTTCTCTAGCTGATCTAAAACCGCTTTTGACCTAAAGGGACGCTTTTTGGACGCCATGGACTTTTCTAAGTTTCCAGGCAGAAAGAACAGTCAAAATGCAGACAGGGGACAGGACAAAGCACTCGGGACAAAATGTATGTGAAATGGTTTGAAACAGCAATGTTTTACAATGTAAAATTCGTTTTGAAAAAAAATGACATTTTTTAAAAATTTTCAAATTTCCTGCCAGTTCCGCCGCCCGTACGTCCCAACGTCACAGGGACCGGAACACAGAAGCCAGATGCCAGCATCAGCTGGAGGAGATGGCCGGGGACGCTGCAGGGGACACATCGCGGGAGCGAAGGACAAGGTAAGCTCTGCAGGGACTCCCTATGCAGCGCCGCATGGTAAGCCCGAGTGTAGCTCGGGGTTACCGCTTTTGGTACTGAAACTCTACCCCGAGCTACACTCGGGAATACCGTTAGGGAGGTTAAAGCTGAAGTTTGTTCGGGTTATATTTTGCCTTCCCTGGGTCCTCCTCTTACCCACCAAAAAGCAAGCAGTGGGCTGCCTCTTAGATGTGGGTATTCTTAGGAGAGCTGAATTTGAACTCCAGGCAAAAACAAATACATATAATTTTAAATCGGTTCAGCCAGTCTTGTGATCCAGTCCTGCCAAGACTGTAGAGGAAAGATCTTGACCTCCCTGCAAACCACACTGTAGCTAAGTCATACAGCATGGTACTGTCAGGGGCGGACTGATAACTTATGGGGCCCCCGAGCAATAGGGGATCATGGAGCCCCTGTGTCCTTGCCCACAAAGCACACCAGAAAAGCCTATAAAAGAAAAAAAAACAAAAAGGTAGCAGGGGCATTTCATGGGGCCCCCTACTGACCCCGGGCCCTCGGGCAGTGCCTGAGTGCTCGAATGGACAGTCCGCCCCTGGTCCTGGTCAACATGCCTACCCCCCCCCCCCCCCCCCCCCCCTTACAGTGTTACACTTAACAGCAACTATGCCTGATTGAGGCACTTTAACGTGAATATCAATAAGGGTCTCAACAAAGTACATGTGCATGGGTAGTAGTTACATAGAAGAAATCTCTGTATCATCAGACTGCAGTCACAACTACTGGGCTTTACACAAGGGTGCTGTGATGTTTTCCAGAAACGATGTATGGCACCCCACCGGCCCTTTCCAATCTATCTGTATTGCATAAAGAAGCACAGAGACCCAATATGATGTCACCAGGTCTAAATATAAGTATGTAATGGAAACAGAAAGGTTTTCTGAAAATAATTTATTAGCATGTTGATGAGGGGGGAGGGAGGAACCAGAGAAGGAGAAATTTAGGCAGATTAAACTTAAATGGACTTGGCACTGCCAAGGAAATGGGAGATGGGACTCACCTGATGCGCACAACGCCGAGGTGGCGGGTTTGGAACGTCGATTTTATTCCAGCTGTTCTTCTTTATATTGTAAATATACAGCTCATTATATAGAAAGGTCTGAAGGAAATAAAAGACAAAATAATTAAAAACAGAATGCATTCCCAAACCCTGGAGTAAAAGATAATAAATACCATAAAATAAAAAACGAAATGATATATTTGATACACAAACCAATGAGTGGGATCTGTGGTCAGGTACGACCTCGGATTGAGCGGCCCTGCCAGAACGTCAACAGGGACCACCTTATGTTCTCCTATGGAGCTCAGCACTGTGCAATGAGAAGTAGGATGAATTTTGACATCTAAATAGGTATTAGGACAGTGGGGGTGGGGTGCAACATAGGCTAGCATTAGGTTATGCTTTAAATTTGAGCTTTATATAATTTTCCCTTGATCCCTTCCAGTCCCATTGAGTAGGGCTTTCTGGTTGCAGTTGTTTCCACTGGTCATTCATTCTTTGCTGTCCCTTGTAAGGCCTCCCAAAGTCTGCAGTGGGAATGGGCATGAATAATTGAATTTTGGAATGATTAGCAGTGTGCTAATTACACTGCAGCAGTGGAATACCAATTAGCGTGCAGAGAGAATGATCGGTGGAGCTGGGAACCCCAGTCCTGCACTATCCTAGGCCCAGTACTAGGTGTTCCCAGAACAAAGGATTTTTAGATAACACAATGAGCCACCCAGGACAACAAGCTCCAGACAAACAGGCCACATCGACTCTTACTGCTTGCACACAAAAGTTTCCAGTGAGGCTGGAGTGTGCCTTTAAGAGTCTGATCCACATGGGTTTGTCATAGGTGAGGAAGCAGATTATTCATACCACGTTTCCCACCATTGGGGCTGACACTGATCTACAGATTAGAGCACACAACACACCATAGCCTGCAGGCAATCAGAGCCCATTAAACATTAACAGGGAGCTGACACTAGGAGACCAGTAATGGGCACAGATTTCTACTGGTTTATGTTTCAGCACAGTGTAGGGGGAGAGGTATGGAAGTCTGAAGCAGTTCGCTGGAAGTCTAGCAGGATGCAATATATTCCAGGAACTCAGATCTGTCAATGTCCAGGGCAAAAAAAAATTACAATATATACATACATACACACTTCAATGATTTCTACTAACACCTTGCACTGAGAAATGCATTTTCACCCGACAATACCATATACATGGTGCACTGAGAATATTGTAAGATTACCCCACACACAGAATATTACGCAGGATTACACAGTCACAATTACAATATAATCAGAGTTTAACCACTTCAAGTCCAGACACTTTCACCCCCTTCCAGTCCAGGCCAATTTTCAGCGATATCACACTTTGAATGACAATTGCGCGGTCATGCAACACTGTACCCATATGAATTTTTTAGCATTTTTTTGAGACAGATAAAACTTTATTTTGGTGGTATTTATTCACCACTGGGATTTTTTTTTATATAAATGGAAAAGTACACAAATTTTTAGAAAAAAAAAAAAAAAAAAAAAAAAAAAAAGGTATTTTTCTTATAAAATGTTGCAAATAAATAATTTCTTCATAAATCTATTCATCTACCTTTTTAGTAAAAAAAACAAATATATACAAATTATAACCAAAAATTATAATTTTTCAAATTTTTTAGTTTTTTTTTAATTATTATTTATTTTTTAACATCATACTGTCACCCTAGCAGTACAGTGTCACCATAGTGACACTGTACTATTTGTGGGGGTTGATGAAGTTTTTTTTTTTTCTTTTTTTTAACACTGATTGCATTTACACACATAAAGGCTGTAGAAGCAATCATTTCTCCTCCTCTCTGGCTGCATTCTTGCAGCCATTGAGAAATACTGTGAGAGCTGTGATTGGTCACAGCTTGTCACATGGTACAAGGCTGTTGTGAATAGCTCTGTACCATGTGACCTCTGTGATCATTCACAGATTTCACAAGTACTAAGCAATGATGTCAGGAAATCTTGTTTAGTATTGTTCATGTGATCACTGAGTGGCCAATCAGTGATCACATGAATTGGGACCTCACACAGAGGTCCCGTACAGCGATCGGTGCCCGCTGTGTCCTCCAAACACAGCGGACACCAATCGCGGTGCAGCGCTCCCAGGCAATGGATGCGGGGGGATGTCTAGGAATGTCCACCCGCCATTTATGTACATGAGCCGGACGGTAAAAGGTTAAAGTAGTATACTAAAGAAAAATTTTCTTTTTTTTTTTCTTTTAGTGTTTTACCATTAAATGTAATCTGATCCTCACCTAGGTCACAACAATAGACAAACATAACGTGCTTAAGCTGATAACACAAACAATTTGAATCTCTTGTGTCTTTACTGAACACACCCAATAAACATTCACAGTGCCAGAGGAAAAAGTAAGTAAACCTTTGTAGTTAACCACTTCCAGACCGGACACTTTTACCCCCTTCCTGACCAGGGCAATTTTCAGCTTTCAGCGCTATCACACTTTGAATGACAATTGCGCAGTCATGCAACACTGTACCCAAATTAATTTTTTACCATTTTTTTGAGACAGATAAAGCTTTATTTTGGTGGTATTTATTCACCACTGGGATTTTTATTTTTTTTGCTATGTAATGAAAAAGTCCAAATATTTTGAACAAAAGTGTTTTTTTTTTATAAAATTTTGCAAATAAATAATATTTCATCATTACATCTTTGCCAAAATGTATTCCGTTATCTTTTTAGCAAAAAAACAAAAAAAATTAGTTTATAACCAAAAAATTATAATTTTTAAACTTTTTTTTTACATTTTTATATTATTTTTTTTTTTTTTTTACATACTGTGACACTGTACTACTTGTGGGGGGTGATGAAGATTTTTTTTTTTTTTACAGATTGCTTTTATACCCATATAGGATGTAAAAGCAATCATTTCTCTTTCTCTCTGTGTGCATTCCTGCACTCATTGAGAAATACTGAGTGAGCTGTGATTGGTCACAGCTTGTCACATGGTACAAGGCTGTTGTGAATAGCCTTGTACCATGTGACCTCTGTGATCATTCACAGATTTCACACATAGTAAGCAATGATGTCACAAGTGACATCTTGCTTACTACTTTGCATGTGATCACTGATTGGCCAATCAGTGATCACATGATCGGGACCTTGTACAGAGGTCCCGTCCGACGATCGGTGTTTCACTGTGTCCGGAGGACACAGCGGGCACCGGATCGCGGTGCTGTGCACTCCCAGGGAGCGCACACAAGCACGGTGCGGGGAGGCCGTTCATAAACGGCCACCCGACCCTGTACTGCCACCGTCCGGCCATTTATATACAACGGCCGGTCGGGAAGTGGTTAATAGCTGGTCAAACTTCCTTTGACAGCGATGACATCAAGCATGCTCTTTCAGGAGCTCTGGATCAGAGCTGCACAAAGTTCAGGAGGAATTTTTGACTCTTTACAACACTGCCTCAGCTCAGACACATTTGTAGGATGTCTGTTGTAAACGTCTCTCTTGAGGCCATTCCACAACATCTCGATGGGGTTAAGGTTTGGACTCTGACTCGGACACTCTGAAAGGCACATATCCTTTTTTTTTTATGCCAGTCCCTGCTGGATTTACTTCGAAGCTTAGGACCATTGTCCTGCTGCATCACCCAACTTCCACTAAGCTTCAGCTGAAGGACAGCCACCTTGCTTACCTAATTGGGTAATGAGCTGTCAGTACACATGCAGCCGATGTACCAATGCAATGATTTCAAATCCCCACTCTTCATACCCTTCTTTTGGTAGGGTTTCTGAGATGAATCAGATCAGTTCTGACTGGTCAGCACTGGCAATTGGTCTGACCAATCAATGTCTGACCGGAAAATGCAGAAAGGGGGGAACTGACAGGGATTTCAAATCACAGACCATGTAGCGGGGGGGGACAGTGTAGGAGTGTGTTAGTTCACCTTTTAATTTTTTCTGAAGTGATGAATTTAAACAATAAAATTCTTCTGCTACAGTGATGAGAAATAGATAAAAGGGGAATTTACTAAGACTGGAACAGCTGTGCATGGCAACCAGATTCCAACTTTCAACTTTAAAGCCTAAAGTAGAACTCTGGGATACAACTAACTAATCCCACCACTACTCTGTGGAAGAAAGAGGTCTATACTTACCTATGTCCAAGCCACTCCAGTCCAGTAACATGATCAGCTCCCATCTGTGAGCTAGCAGCGGCTCCAGGGAAGAGGAGGGACCACCAACAATGCTTGGCCCATAGTAAGCCTATTGTTGACGTCACTGCTCAGGCATTCCAGCCATTGTTACAGCGAGATCACGTGACTGGACTGAGTTAAAAGTACATTTATGGCTAACTAATAGCATGCATCCTTTCTATGTTCTTTTAATGAATGTACAAAAGCTTAGGGGGATTTATTATTATTATTTTATTTCAGGTACTTATATAGCGCTGTCAATTTGTGCAGTGCTTTACATATATATTATACATTCACATCAGTCCCTAACCCTCATGGGGTGTACAATCTAAGGTCCCTAGCTTACATTCGTACATACTAGGGACAATTTATACAGGATCCAATTCACCTACCATCATGTCTTTGGATTTTAAAGAATACATTTTTAAAAATAAATATATTACACTTACCCGCTCTGTGCAATGATTATGCACAGAGCATCCCCATACACCTTTTCTGGGGTCGCCAGCGCCCCAATCCTCCTCCCCCCTGCTGAGTGCCCCCAAAGCAAGCCTTTCAAAATAGGGGCACCTATGCAGGCCTGATCCCGAGCCACGTTGTGTGCCCACTGACATACAGAGGGTGGCTCAGCCCCGCCCCCTCACAGGCAATGACTGACAGCCATTGGCTCCTGCTGCTACCTCTCTGTCCAGTGAGCAGAGAGAGAGAGACACTGGTCTCGTGCACAGCAATGGGTCGCGATTGGTCTCACATAGGTATACGGAGAGGGGGGGAGCTGCACAGAGGAGGTTTTTTACCTTAATGCAGAGTGAATGTCTTTGAAGTGAATGTCTGCATTAAAATTTAGGATCGTTTTTTTCCTCCACTTGATGCTACATTGCAATGAAATATGTCTGAAAAAAATTGTTAGCATAACAATAGGAGGAGATCATGTTGGATTTGCACAGATGCAAGCATAAGGTGACATTTGCCCAGGTTTTTCATTAGTAAAGCTCTAAATGACATTGCACTCACCCATGTGACTGTTTGGCACTCACAAAGTAAAAGAAAAAAGTAATATAAAATCATCCAATGCATCTTTCAGGATGGAATGTTTTTTTTATTTTGTTAATGATTAAAATATATTTAATGTGATTAAACAGAATATTTATTTGAATGTATTTATGGGGTTTGGATGAGGTCAGCAGGGATGCAGACAATGGAGGTACAGGCACAGGCAGTTTTCCTGTAAAGGGTCCAGACCAGGGGTGGACTGACAACTCATGGGGCCCCCGGGCAATAGGGGATCATGGGGCCCCTGTGTCCTTGCCCAAACTCAAAAAAGCATATGAAAAAGGTACCAGGGGCATCTCCTGGGGCCCCCTACTGACCCCGGGCCCTCGGGCAGTGCCAGAGTTTCCAAATGGTCAGTCCGTCCCTGGTCCAGACTCTCCAGCTGTTAAGCCCTAAACAGAGTCACATCAGCTACATCAAAGTCCAGGAGAAATCAGGCTTTGGTAGACAGAGGTGGGCGCAGGCAGCCCGGTGCTGCAAGGCATCCTACTGGACACCTCACAGCTTAGTCATCAGAGCCGTTGCAGTCTCCCTTTGATACCCAGAACAGACTTCCGCCTATCAGAGGGAGAGGACTGGCTTCTCTGCACTGTGCGCAGACAGCAGTGTTACGAAAAGGACTGCAAACTCTGGAGATTGGTAGAAATGTGATCCAGACCTCCCTAGCAGCTCTGCACCAACATATTACCTGTAATAGTGAACCATGGCTACATGAAGAGGCAAGACAGAGCTGCATCAAAGCTGGTGCTAAAGCCCATGGGGACCTGCCAGAGTCCTAGCGCCCTTTTAAAACCTGTGCTGGCACAAAAAAAAAACTGTCATATGACAACAATGTAAACTGACAAAGAATCTATTAAAGGCCCAAAACAGTCAGATGTACTGAAATATTGGACACAGGCGCCCCCCAGTGGCCAACCAAAACAAATGGAGCTGTCAATCGGCCTCATGCAGCAAAACACGTCATGAAACAAAATCACGGATTTTAGGAGGGTCCCAGGCTGGGTTTGCATTAGTGGCTCTTTCAATGCAAGGAAGATAAACTGTGAATTGATTTAGTAGAACTAAAAGATAAAAAATGTTTTCATTGTGGAAGCATTATATGACGGTTATATACCCAGTCAGGTCCCATTGGGGAGATTTCCCTTCACTTCCTGCCCTATAGACAAAACAGGGAGTGAGAGACAATCCTTCCAAAGCGAGGGGAATCCCTGGTTGTCACCAGAACTACTGCTCCACTGGAAAATTTCCCCTCTATTTCTGTTCTGGTGACAAACCAAAATTTGGGATTTTCTTTCACTTTCGGTGATAACTATAAGCAAGACAAACAGAGGATATATCTCCCAAACCGGGGCACAGACAGCAATAAAAACCTGCCAGAGATTCTAATCCCTCTCTACTTGAAAACTAAAAAAAAAAAAAAAAAAAAAAAAAAGTTTTGTCTTTAGCTAACCTTTTACTAAAACAGCTCCTTATCGAGAGAAAGAACTAAAGTATCTTGGGGTAAAATTATCTACCTCAATTAATAATATTTATAAGATTAATTATATTTCACTTTTTAAACGAGATAAAAGAGGAATTGAAGAGGTTGGGAACTGGAAATCCGTCTTGGATGGGCCGTATAAATTTGATAAAAATGATAATTTTGCCCAAAGTTCTATACAAGTTTCAAATGATCCCAATTAAACTTCCAGAGGTTTTTTTCAGGACACTAAGGAAAAAATGTTGTTGGGGTAAATATGGAGGAAAAAAAAAACCGAGGATATGCTATGAAACGCTGACTAGAATTAAAGAGAGAGGAGGCTTAGGGCTCCCAGATTTCAAGAGATATTATAAAGCGACCTTGATCGCGAGAATCTTTGACTGGACTCATAACCCAGGGAAAAGTTGGGTCAAAATTGAAAATATATTGAGTGGGTCCAATCTGAATAGAATTATATGGTTACCTACACATCACAGAGGTCTAGATGTTAACACAAGTATATACACTTCTATTGTTTTAAAAGTTTGGCGGATGTTACACAGACAAAGGGGTTGGGTTTTTAATTCACAGTTATGCCATAAAAATACAGACTATTTTGCACCTGGGAAGGAAGATATCACGGGGAATTGGATTATTAAACAGGACGCGCGCAACTGAGAGACATAATGGTGGGTGAGGAACTAAGATCTTATAGAGAGATGGAGAAATTAAAGGGAGAGGTTTTTAGTAGAATAGACGAGGTTCGTTACCACCAATTAAAACACTTTTTTGAGAGTCTCCCAAAACCGGTGAGAACTAAAAAGGATTGGAATTTATTTGAAAGTTTGTTGGATACACGGGGAGATGGGAGACATGGCGTTGCTAGAATATATAGAATTTTAACAGCACTGGACACTGACACAAAATTAATTTATGTAGAGAAATGGGGAAAAGATATGGGTAGGGAGATCGATGAGGAACAGCAGAGGAAAATGCTTAGATTGGTTCACGAAAATATTAGTATGAAAGAAGTAGAATTAAATTATAAGTGTTTAGTTAGATGGCACATTGCACCGAGTGTGGAGCACAAGATGAATGGGGGGAGAAATCTCCACTATGTTGGAGAGGCTGTGGAGAAGTGGGTACACTATATCACATTTGGTGGGAATGTTCAAAGATACAGGTGTTCTGGGGGAAAATCGTCCACTTAATGAGGAAAATTACTAAGATCGATATTAGATTGGACCCAGAGTTATGTCTCCTTCATATCTCTGAGCTCACAGTGAGATCATATAAGGACTCAGGGATTTGGTACTTTCTGAGTGCAGCCAAAAGCTTGATTCCTAAGTTTTGGAAAAAAAAGGGAGGTCCCGACAGAAGAAGATTGGTTGATCAGAATGAATCAGTTATGTGAGATGGAAAGACTTTATTATACACACATAGACGGGATGGAGATGTACCATAAAAAGTGGGGAAAATGGGAAGAATTTAGACAAGAAAGTGAAATATAGTTGATTTACACCTCTTGACGAATAATGATTTTTAGAAATGAGTTTTAGAAAGAAAAAGGATAGTGCTATATATTTATTTATTTGTTTCTCTCTCTTTTGGATTTGAAAAGAAATGGCAGAGTGGGATGGAGGGGGGAGGGGGGATATGGTGAGGGGTGTGGGTGGGGAGGGGCTTAGGGGGGGATCAGGGTTGTGGGAATTAAATAAATTATGAGGAATATAATGATTATTTAATGAAGAAAATGTTTGTTAACTATATTTGATTGAAATCAAATAAATATTTATAAAAAAAAAAAAAAAACAGCTCCTTATCTTCAAGGATATCTAAAAGTTTTTTTCCCATTTTGGATAATGTAGGAGAGGATTAAAACTGTTGTCAGATTTTCCTTTTTGGGAAATCTGTGTCTCATTAGGGAGATTTCTCTTCCCTTCCTGTCCAATAGACTCAACCAGAAGTGAAAGAAATCCCCTTTTAGACAGATGTCGGGAAAACAATAGTGCCCATCTATTGCTATAACATACTGGATTTCCCATCACTTCCTCTCCCAGTGACAACAGCCACAAAGACAAATAGAGAGGGTGAATCTCCCCAAGGGGGACACAGATGGCAGAGATGGAGGATGGGGAGAGTGGAACAGAGGTCAGAGCTGAGGAGGTGTGGAAGGGAGATGTGGACATCCTGTTAAAGAGAACTGAACCCTGTACACTGTCCATTGCAAACCCCTAAACCCTGCACTCTGTACATAGTGCACTTCTGAACGCTGCAATCCATTCTGAGCACACCTATGAACGCTGCACTCTGTACATAGCACACCCCTGAACTCTGCACTCCTGGTATTTATTGACGTTTTAAAATTATACAAAAAACTTCTTGCATAAAAAAGGTAAAAACTTTTTTTTTTTTTTTTTTTTTTATTTGTCTGTGCTCCCCCTTCCCTGTAGGAGAAGAGAGGGGAGAAGAAGAGATCAGCGCTGTGCACAGCTGCATCTCTTCTCCCCTCTCTCCCACTTCACAGAGAGACTCAAACAGCAGCACGAACCATTGGCTCTTGCTGCTGTCAATCAAATCAAATCCCGAGAAGAGGAGGATTGGGGCCATTCTGTGCAGCATGTTTGTTATTTTAATGAAAACAAATTTTAGACTTTAGTAACACTTTAAGATCCTCCACAGTTCGATGAAGTTCAGGGGTGCATGGTTGATTTCCTGCACCTATTCTCTGAGAAAACAGCCCTGGATACACTTATATAGTCTTAGCACAACCATCCCTTTGAGGACAACCATAATGCTGATGCGGCCCACAATGAAATTGAGTTTGACACCCCTGCCATAGACCATACATTACATACAATCACTATTTGAAGCAAACCTTGCACTTCAGATAAGGCCTGCTCATCTAAACGTGACCCCCCCCCCCCAAACTCTCCTTTCTTAGTGCAGCAAACACCCACAAAAAAAAAAAAAAAAACATCGATAAGATAATCACTTTGCCCAATCTCTGTAGTGTATGCGTGGGCGGGGGGCACATCATCTTCCTGCCGACAAGATCCCACAGAAAGCAGAGTAGCTCAGATCTCATGATCATCTTCTCATGAGATTACGGCTAATCGACATTCTCCAAGATCTGGCAGGAAGAAGGATGATGTCATTCTCACTTCTCACCTACGCACCATGGGAGGAAGCCAGGGAAAGGCAAGTATATTTATTTAATTAACCCCCCAGGTTTGTTATTTGTTTGCACTTTCATCCAGTGTTTTAGGAAGGGGAGGACCTTGAATAAGCAGCCCTTGTCACTGAGGTGCAATGTCAGCTTTAGCTCAGACATGACGGGGTGATAAATAGGAAGTAAAAGAATACTGTACTTTTTGGCCATTGAAATATTCACCTCCAAAGAGAATCAGCTCGTCCTTTTCAGGGTGGGGGGTGAGTGAGGCATTCAGCCTGTGGGGAGAGGAAGAAGGTGGTAAGTGATGGATTACTCTATATCACAGACTAAACCTAACACGTGGTAATGTACATAGGAACATATACAGGTGTTAGACAAAAAAAAAAAAAAAAAAAAAACACTACATGATTTGCAAGCGTGAAAGTGACATGTTTCTCATTGAGAGTGGAAGTGATGTAACACTCTTTTGTGTCCACTGTGCGATGAGACACCTAGCTAGCAGATGGGAAGCCTCAATTTTGTCATTCACTGTGTGCGCTGCTAGTAATACGGGGTCATGTCAGAGCTTACTGAGCTTCAAAGAGGGCAAATTGTTGGTACCGCTTAGCTGGTGCCGCTGTGACTGACATTGCCAATTTATTACCGTACAGTATCAGAGGTTATGACGGCATATACAGCTTCCGGGAAAATGTCGTTTGATAAGCATAAGCGCGGCTGACATGGTCAACTGACCAAAAGAGTCAAAAAGACATTGCGCGGGATTGTGACTCAGAATAAGAAAACAACGGCTGCAAAAGTGACTGTAGAGCTCAATCTCAGTCTTCACAGGATTTTACATTTCTATATTGAAAACCTGTAAAGACTTTAAAGTGTCACCTAAAAAAAAATGTTAGATACTGTAGTTCATCACCATTCATGGGCACTCCATTTTCAGTCTTGATAGGTTTGCTATCTATTTACGCAACATCATCAGTTATATTTTACCAAAAAATGGGTATTCCTCGCCATGGATTTGTGGCAACTTGGCAAGACTGAGGCTACAGGAGAAACCTGCATCAGCCAGGTAAAGAGGAGAGACTTTTACAAGTCCTCCTGACAGGTGAATCCAACCAAGCTCCATCTGGATTTATTCAGCACAGTGCTTCTCGGTTCACACTACTACGACCTGAAAGTCGTGCAACATTGCCAGGCGACTGGAGTACTACTTTGAAGCAACTTTCAGGAAATGCCTGGGATGTTGGATCCTCTATTGTCGGATCCAAATCACATCAATATAGATAAGGATCCAACTTGGAGGCGACTTCCATTAAAGTCTATGGGCACAAGTTGGATAGAAGTCACCTTGAAGTAGTACAGGAACATTTTCTAAAGCCGGAGCAACTGCAGTAGTGCTAATTAAGACAGAGCTCATTGACTAACATGGGATTTCACATGTCATGAGACTTGGGGTCTCACAAGTCGGATCCCAAGTCACAGCAGTGTGAACCAAGCCTGCTACATTGGACTCAGGGCGCAACACTGATTATGTTGATCTGAAACATTGCATCTGTTTACATTTGGAGACACAACACCTCTCACTAAGAGGAGCAGCACCTCATCAACTTTGTTACATTGTTTTGTTTTTACTTGACACAAGGGGTGTCACTCTGGAAGGCACAGTCTATTGCAGGTGGATAACACTGCTATATACTGTATGCCCCAAAGTCGGGACAGGGATTACATTCATCAGGGATCACTGAGTTAGTGATTACTTTTATCAGGGATCACGGAGTTAGGAGTCACATTTATTCAGGGATCATAGAGCTAGGGATTAAATTCATTGGGAATATTTGTTAGATATAACATCATTGGGGATCAAAGAGGAACATTTATCGAGGCTCGCATTTATTGGGGGATCACAAAGTTAAGGATCACATTTACAGAAGATCGCATTTATTGGGGGATCACAGAGATCACATTTAAGGATCACATTTATTGGGGGATCACAGAGTTAAGGATCACATTTATCGAGAATCGCATTTATTAGGGATATCAGATATTGCATCCATGGGGGATCACAAATTATAGAGGATCACATTTACTTTGGGATCACAGAGTTAAGGATCACATTATGGAGCACCGCACTTATTGGGGATCACAGAGTTAAGGATCACATTTTATGGAGCACCGCATTTATTGGGGGATCACAAAGTTAAGGATCATTTATCGAGGACATTTATTAGGGATATCAGATATTGCATCCATGGAGGATCACATTCATAGAGGATCACATTTACTTTGGGATCACAGAGTTAAGGATCACATTTATGGAGCACCGCATTTATTGGGGGATCACAAAGTTAAGGATCACCACATTTATTAGGGATATCAGATATTGCATTCATGGAGGATCACATTAACAGAGGATCACATTTATTTTGGGATCATATTTATTAGGGATCACATTTTTTACCCTGAGTGGCTGGGACAGAATGGTTAGGTTTTCTTTGGTCATTAGCATGAAGGTGTGCTGGAGACCTCTTTATACCATTTTGTATCTTGCTCCGCCCATGACCAGCTTTCTGGTATGAAACCCAGAGATCTGAGCGGTTTTTCCTGGTGCAGCAGGCAGGTCCTCACACCCTGGAGGGACTAACAGTCCCAGCATCCCCCGTTCTACTACGTCTGAGAGATCCCAACCCTTGCAGGAGGAGCAACAGGTTTGTCTTGCCTTGGGCTGGGGGGAGCACATGCCGTTTCCACCACCTGAGTCTTCTTGGCATCCAGAGACTGGAACTCGGCGATCAGAGCCTCCAGATCCTCCTGGGGGAATACAAAGAGAAATCAAATGATACAAAATATATCACCAGCTTGCCACATGGAAATACACCGCACACCATTCCTTCCTGTCCCCCAGAACCATTACATTCTGCCCTGGAACACAATCTCACATTTGAGCTGCTGTAAAACAGACATTCCAAGTGTTTACTTAAAGCCTAACTCTGGGCTTGGGTTCCCCTTCCTCGCTGGAGCAGGAAGTAAGGGGTGGAGCCTTGGCAACACAGCCTCACAGGAAGTAAGGGGTGGAGCGTTGACATCCCAGCTTCACAGGAAGGGGCAGAGACTTGACATCACCGCCTTACAGTTAGTGTGGCGGAGCCATGACAACCCAGCCTCAGAGGAAGCAAGGGGTAGAGCTTTGACAATCCAGCCTCACAGGATGGGGGGGATGGAGCCTTGACAACCCAGCCTCACAGAAAGTGGGGGGTGGAGCCTTGACAACCCAGCCTCACAGAAAGTGGGGGGTGGAGCCTTGACAACCCAGCCTCACAGAAAGTGGGGGGTGGAGCCTTGACAACCCAGCCTCACAGAAAGTGGGGGGTGGAGCCTTGACAACCCAGCCTCACAGAAAGTGGGGGGTGGAGCCTTGACAACCCAGCCTCACAGGACAGGGGGTGGAGCCTTGACAAACCAGCCTCACAGGAAGTGGGGGTGGAGCCTTGACAAACCAGCCTCACAGGAAGTGGGGGTGGAGCCTTGACAAACCAGCCTCACAGGAAGTGGGGGTGGAGCCTTGACAAACCAGCCTCACAGAAAGTGAGGGTGGAGCCTTGACAAACCAGCCTCACAGAAAGTGAGGGGTGGAGCCTTGAAACCCAGCCTCACAGGAAGTGGGGGGGTGGAGCCTTGACAAACCAGCCTCACAGGAAGTGGGGGTGGAGCCTTGACAAACCAGCCTCACAGAAAGTGGGGGGTGGAGCCTTGACAAACCAGCCTCACAGAAAGTGGGGGGTGGAGCCTTGACAACCCAGCCTCACAGAAAGTGGGGGGTGGAGCCTTGACAACCCAGCCTCACAGAAAGTGGGGGGTGGAGCCTTGACAACCCAGCCTCACAGAAAGTGGGGGGTGGAGCCTTGACAACCCAGCCTCACAGAAAGTGGGGGGTGGAGCCTTGACAACCCAGCCTCACAGGACGGGGGGGGTGGAGCCTTGACAACCCAGCCTCACAGGACAGGGGGTGGAGCCTTGACAAACCAGCCTCACAGGACAGGGGGTGGAGCCTTGACAAACCAGCCTCAGAGTAGGCAAGTTGAAAGAAGCCGGGTGTCCTTCAACTATTTAGAGATGTGGGACCAGATGGATCTGATGGAGTCTGTGGGCGATGGGGATTAGGGGAGGATGTCAGACAATTTACCAGTGACTCACAATTTTCTACTTTTTTGCCCAAGCTGGAATCAGGCTTTAAAGGAACTCCAGCTGATCCCATGAAGCTGTCAAAAAAATACATAAACCTCCAATAAACATTTATTTCAATATTGAATTTGTGTCAGGGACCCCACTGAGGCAGTTTTCCCCTCTCTTCCTGTCTCTATTGAGGGTGAGAACTTGCAGGGAGGGTGGAAGTGGGGCTTTACAGTGGTGAGTGATAACATGAGAACCTGCAGTGAATGGCCCTTTCATCCCCGAGGGCCCGCCCTCACCTCCTCCTTTTTGGACCTCTTGGAGACTTTCTTCTCCATCTTGGCGGCCGTCTTCTCCGCCCCCTTCACCTTCTTCTCCTTCTTCCCTTTCTTCCCCATGGCTCCACACCGGGCACAGGTTGACGTCACCGCAATGCGACCTCGGCCTCAGAAGATGACGCCCGGCCATGCGGCACACACCTTAACCCCGCCCCGTTCTGTGCCCACCCTGTGTACCGTATTCGCTGGAGTATAGCTGCTCTGAGTTCTGGTTACCGTACTGTGTGGAGTAGGAGGTCATAATCTATGGGGAGCCGCGTACCATAGAGGCTGAGCCACGTTTGGGGGGCGGTAAATTATATGTGCCCAGGGGCGAACTGACAACTCGTGGGGCCCCCGGGCAATAGGGGATCATGGGGCCCCTGTGTCCTTGCCCACACTCAAAAAAAAGCCTATGAAAAAGATACCAGGGGCATCTCATGGGGCCCCCTACTGACCCCGGGCCCTCGGGCAGTGCCCTAGTTTCCATATGGTCAGTCCGCCCCTGTATGTGCCCCATCACCTTGTAAAACGATCCATTCAGTATAACAGAACTGTAAGACAGCACGTTTGTAAATACCCACATGGACGAAAAATATATTTTAAATATATTTTAAAAATATTTCCAAACGGACGGACTGACAACTCATGGGGCCCCCAGGCAATAGGGCATCATGGGGCCCCTGTGTCCTTGCCCACACTCAAACCACACCCAAAAAAGCCTATGAAAGGTACCAGGGGCATCCAATGGGGCCCCCTACTGACCCCGGGCCCTCGGGCAATGCCCAAGTTCCCAAATGGTCAGTCCGCCCATGTTTCCATATATATTGACATATATTTGACATACTACAATTTTGGCATATTCAATATATTAAAAAAGAAAAAAATATATATATATATATACTGTATGTTGAAATGCGTTTTTTTATTTATTACAAAATATATGAAAAATATTTTTAAAAATATGTGTTTTTAAAAATATATTCAGATTTTTTTAACACAAAAAAGTAATTTTAACATATATTTTTACATTTATTTGTAAATGCATTCCAAAAATGTAGATTAAATGTATTTTTAAAGACATACAGTATATTTGAAAATGTATTTTTAAAAATATTTTACATATATTTTGTAATATTAAAAAACGCATTTCAAAATACAGTATATATATATATATATATATATATATATATATATATATATATATATATAAAAAAAATTTTAAAATATATTGAATACGGCCAAAATTGTATTCAAATATATGTCAATATATTTTGGGAAGAATATTTTTTAAAATATGTTTTTCTTCCATGTGGGTAGATAACAAAATTATAAATGTCTTTTTTTTTATAAGTGATCACATGACCTCTGTTCTCCGCTGTGTAAGGAGCTTAGAAAGCTGGGGGGTGGAGACTGCAGGGGGGGGGGGGGGGGCATGTCAGCAGAGAAACAGCAGTACAGTAAGTCCCTGACTTACGAACAAGTTCCGTTCCGGGAGAACATTCGTAAATCGGATTAGTTGGTACATCCGACAAAGTGAGTCTTATACATCTTTGACACAAATATACAATGTAAAGCATAAAAAAACAAATACACACAAAAATACTGTAAATAAACAATTTTTACTTTTCCAGTTTCCTTAAAGTGGTGGTACGGTACAACAACTGGCATATAGTGGAAGAGAGATAATAACTGGAGGAGGGAGGGTAGGTGGGAGATGGTGGAGCTGAAGGAGCATCAGCAATAGGAGATGGAGAACAAGATGGAATTTTTCCCACGCCTGATGTTGACGGAGCTGAAGGAGCATCAGCAATAAGAGATGGAGGGCAAGATGGAATTTGGCCCATGCCTGTTGTTGACGGAGCTGAGGGATCATCAGCAATAGGAGACAGAGGGCAAGATGGAATATAGCCCACACCTGATGTTGATGGAGCTGAAGGATCATCAGCAATAGGAGACAGAGGGCAAGATGGAATATGGCACACACCTGATGTTGATGGAGCTGAAGGATCATCAGCAATAGGAGACAGAGGGCAAGATGGAATATGGCACACACCTGATGTTGACGGAGCTGAAGGAGCATCAGCAATAGGAGACGGAGGGCAAGATGGAATATAGCCCACACCTGATGTTGACGGAGCTGAAGGATCATCAGCAATAGGAGACGGAGGGCAAGAGGGAATATGGCTCACACCTGATGTTGACGGAGCTGAAGGAGCATCAGCAATAGGAGACGGAGGGCAAGATGGAATATGGCTCACACCTGATGTTGACGGAGCTGAAGGAGCATCAGCAATAGGAGACGGAGGGCAAGATGGAATTTGGCCCACACCTGATGTTGACGGAGCTGAAGGAGCATCAGCAATAGGAGACGGAGGGAAAGATTTAATTTGGCCCACACCTGATGTTGACGGAGCTGAAGGAGCATCAGCAATAGGAGACGGAGGGCAAGATGGAATTTGGCCCACACCTGATGTTGAGACAGCTGAAGAATCATCAGCAATAGGAGACGGAGGGCAAGATGGAATTTCGCTCACACCTGATGTTTATGACACAGGTTTTTTGATGGATTCAATTCTGTCTACCCTCTGGAAAAAATGATCCAGTGTTGTCTGAGTAGTAGCTCTTTTTTTCTCATCATAGATGACTCTGTAGAACTGGATGGCATTCTGAACGCCTGCTGTATCATTCTACGTTGGGGTCTTGTGCCTCAAAAACTAACAGTCCCTCTTCAAGTAAAGAAAATCCCCTTGCCATTTCCTGTGTTGTGAATCTCTTTGGTTCTTCAGTTATGTCTTCCTCTTGGATCTCTTCGCCTCTGATTCCATCAGGTCCTCATTAGTGAGCTCCTCATGTTGCATAGCAAGGCGTTCAATGAAGTCGTCCTCCCGCAGATCTAGCTCCAGCTTCGTGCTAAAGGTCACTAAGTTGTTGAAGACCTCTTTGGACTCCTTAGTCTTTACCATCTTCTCAAGTCCATGAACTTCATGAACAAACTGTGGTCAAAGGTTCTTCCAAACCCCATTCATGGTGACAGCCGAAACCTCACACCAAGCAAAGTTGATGTTTTTTATGGCCTTGTAGATGTTATAGTCCTTCCAAAATTATTGCAAGGTTGTTCCTGTTTCATCAATAGCCTTCACTGCCTGACGAAAAAGTGTGACATAAATAATATTTCTTGAAAGTCGCAGAGCTCTTTGGTCAATAGCTTGGATGAGCGCCATAGTATTCAGTGGCAGGTGCACTACTTTGACGTTGGGATGAATGTCATCCATGAATTGGGGGGTGACCAGGGGCATCTTCAAGCAGCAAAAGAATGTTGAATGGGATATCTTTCTTCAAAAAATATTTCTTTATTTCTGGGATAAAGTGGTGGAAAAACCAGTCCTGGAAAATGGCCTGTGTAACCCAGCCTTTGTTACTCTTCCACACAACAGGTAGGGAGCCCTTGGCTATGCTTTTGAGGGCTCCTGGGTTCTCTGAATGGTAAATTCAGAGAGGCTTTAGCTTCATATCGTCACCAAACAACAAAGTAAGTCTGTCCTTTGCTGCTTTGAAGCCTGGCATCGCCTTTATTCTTTATTGGTGTAACTTCGTTCTGGCATCCTCTTCCAGTACAGTCCTGTCCCATCGACGTTAAAAACCTGTTGGGGTAAATAAGCACCTTCTATCTAGTGTGGTCAGTTTCTAAGAGTAAAGCAGAGGGACTGGCAGGATCACCAGGGATTTCACACAAAGTAAGCCATGCAGAGGGAACAGGAAACTTTTTCATACAAGTGCATGGTACAGCAGACACAGATCAGGAATATGAAATGTTGTGGTAGTGTACATTTTACTTTCACTGTCATGACTACCAATGTGGGAGAAGGGGTTAACATTACTGACACCAATGTTGGGGGGTTGTGATTGTTTTCACTGACACCAATGCTAGGGGTTACTATTGTGAACATTGGCACCAATGTTGAGGGTTATTGCATCCACTGACACCAATGCTGGAGGTTATTATTGCACTTACTGACACCATTGCTGGGGGTTATTATTGTGAACATTAACACCAACATTGGGGGTTATTATTGCATCCACTGACACCAATGCTGTAGGGTATTACTGTATCCACTGACACCAATTTTGGGGGTTATTATTGTGTTACACCAACACCAATGCTGGAGGTTATTATTGCACTCACTGACACCAATGCTGGGGGTTATTATTTTATCCACTGACCCCAATACTGGGGGTTATTATTGTGTCCACTGACACCAATTTTGGGGGTTATTATTGCATCTATTGACACAAATGCTTGGGGTTATTATTGTACTCACATTTTCCAATGTTGATTGTTATTATTGCACTCACTGACACCAGTGCTGGGGGCTATTATTGTGTCCACTGACACCAGTGCTGGGGGCTATTATTGTGTTCACCGACACCAATGCTGTTGTTAATATTACGTCCACCAACACCACTGCTGGGATTCTTTTATTGTGAACATCGGCAACAACATTAGGGGTTATTACTGCATCCACTGACACCAATGCTACCGATTATTATTTTGTCCACTGTCACTAATGCTGGGGATTATTATTTTGTCCACTGACTCCAGTGCTGGGGGTTATTATTGCACTCATTGACACCAATGTTGATTGTATTGCAGTCACTGACAGTAATGCTGGGGGCTATTATTGTGTTCACTGACACCAATATTGACGTTATTATTGTGTCCATGGACACCAACACTGGGGGTTATTATTGCATCCACTGACACCAATGTTGCTTGTTATTTTTGCACTCACAGACAGCATGGCTGGGGCTAGTATTGCATCCTCTGACACCAACACTAGGGGTTATTATTGCACTCACTGACACCAATGTCTGGGGATGGTATTGTATCCATTGACACCAATGCTGGAGGTTATTATTGGGTCCACTGACACCAATACTGGAGGTTATCATTATGTTCACTGGCACCAATGTTGGTTGTTATTATTGTATCCACTGACACCAATATTGAGGGTAATATTGTATCCACTGACACTACTGTTGGGGGTTATTATTAAAGTCACTGATATCAGGGTTTGGGGGTTATTATTGCACTTACTGACACCAATGCAGGGGGTTATTGGGCTCCATCTTCTTCGGTGTGCATTGAGATATGCTGCAAACAATTCAGCAGCATTGAGGTATGAAAATTCACAGCTATTGTGTGGCCCTCTGGAAGTGCTGTGGGTCTTCTATAACTTTCAATTCGACCACGACTGGTGTTTGGCCACCTTTACACCCCACTAACTCAATATCAGTTCATCTCTTTGGTGACCCGGGTAATGATGGGTGAAGTGCCCCCCCCCCACCACCAACCCCAGGGATTAGGATTCTGTCTACCCCGGCAGAATTTACGCCTGAAGTATTCAATCTCTGTTCATATATAAAAAGCGCGGCTGGGAGACTCGTCGGGTGGCATGTTGGCTTAGCTGTACCGAGGGCTCAGCCAGCAGTGAAATCATTTCTGCAGTGTCAGCAAATCTTCACACAGTGCTGAGCAATGCTGGGGGGTGAAATGGAGAGCTGAAAAAGACTGAAGAATTCCGCCATTCTTTACTATGTCCGGTTATTGTATCTCTACCTTAAAGGGGACACTAGATTCTTTTTATAGTGATTGGGATACATGTGGATGTGATTGGCTTAGCAGTCCACTGTAGTGAGTAATAATTTATTCTGGTGACTGTGCGGGATCATTACCTGTAATGGTCATACTCAATATTTAAAGTGTCACTAAACCCCAGACCCTGCATTCACTATATCCGCTCTCCCCAGAACCTGCATTCACTATATCCAGTCTCCCCGGGACCCTGCATTCACTATATCCGGTCTCCCCGGACCCTGCATTCACTATAGCCGCTCTCCCCAGACCCTGCATTCACTATATCTGGTCTCCCCGGACCCTGCATTCACTATAGCTGCTCTCCCCAGACCCTGCATTCACTATATCTGGTCTCCCCCCGGACCATGCATTCACTATATCTGGTCTCCCCGGACCCTGCATTCACTATATCTGGTCTCCCCGGATCCTGCATTCACTATATCTGGTCTCCTAGGACTCTGCATTCACTATATACGGTCTCCCCGGACCCTGCGTTCACTATATCCGTTTCCCCGGACCCTGCGTTCACTATATCCGGTCTCCCCGGACCCTGCATTCACTATATCTGGTCTTCCTGGACCCTGCATTCACTATATCTGGTCTCCCTGGACCCTGCATTCACTATATCTGGTCTCCCCGGACCCTGCGTTCACTATATCCGGTCTCCCCGGACCCTCCCCGGCTGTTCACTATATCCTGTCTCCCCGGACCCTGCATTCACTATATCCGGTCTCCCCGGACCCTGCATTCACTATATCTGGTCTCCCCAGACCCTGCATTCACTATATCTGGTCTCCCCAGACCCTGCATTCACTATATCTGGTCTCCTAGGACTCTGCATTCACTATATCTGGTCTCCCTGGACCCTGCATTCCACTATATCCGGTCTCCCCGGACCCTGCATTCACTATATCCTGGGTCTCCCAGGACCCTGCATTCACTATATCCGGTCTCCCCGGACCCTGCGTTCACTATATCCGGTCTCCCCGGACCCTGCATTACTATATCTGGTCTCCTAGGACTCTGCATTCACTATATCCGGTCTCCCCGGACCCTGCATTCACTATATCTGGTCTCCCCGGACCCTGCATTCACTATATCTGGTCTCCTAGGACTCTGCATTCACTATATCTGGGCTCCCTGGACCCTGCATCCACTATATACGGTCTCCCCGGACCCTGCATTCACTATATCTGGTCTCCCGGACCCTGCATTCCTAGGACCCTGCATTCACTATATACGGTCTCCCCGGACCCTGCATTCACTATATCCTGGTCTCCCCGGACTCTGCATTCACTATATCTGGGTCTCCCGGACCCTGCATTCACTATATCCGGTCTCCCCGGACCCTGCATTCACTATATCCGGTCTCCCCGGACCCTGCGTTCACTGTATCCGGTCTCCCCGGACCCTGCGTTCACTATATCCGGTCTCCCCGGACCCTGCATTCACTATATCCGGTCTCCCCGGACCCTGGGACCCTGCATTCACTATATCCGGTCTCCCGGACGGACCCTGCATTCACTATATCTGGTCTCCCCGGACCCTGCATTCACTATATCCGGTCTCCCTGGACCCTGCATTCACTATATCTGGTCTCCCCGGACCCTGCGTTCACTATATCCTGTCTCCCCGGACCCTGCATTCACTATATCCGTCTCCCCGGACCCTGCATTCCACTATATATCCGGTCTCCCCGGACCCTGCATTCACTATATCCCCGGACCCTGCATTCACTATATCCCTCTCCCCGGACCCTGCATTCACTATAGCTCTCCGCTCACTATCTCTCCCCGGACCCTGCATTCACTATATCCGCTCTCCCCGGATCCTGCATTCACTATATCCGCTCTCCCCGGACCCTGCATTCACTATATCCGCTCTCCACGGACCCTGCATTCACTATATCCGCTCTCCCCGGACCCTGCATTCACTATATATCCGCTCTCCCTGGACCCTGCATTCACTATATTCGGTCTCACCCGGGACCCGGACCCGGCATTCACTATATCTGGTCTCCCAGGACCCTGCATTCACTATATCTGGTCTCCCCGGACCCTGCATTCACTATATCCGGTCTCCTCGGACCCTGCATTCACTATATCTGGTCTCCCACTGTACACACAACATGGAAATGCAATTATTTTAGTACATATAAACTGCTTTTCTCATCAGCAGTTAGAGCAGCCTTGTGACTTCAGTAGAGCACTGGTTAAAGCTTGTGGGAGGAGTTTTCTTTCTACTCTAGGAGGATGCAAAACCCCTGACTTCTGTCTGGACAGCGCTGATTGGCCCTATGCTGATTACATGCACCCTCCCAAGTAAAAAAAAAAAAAACTCTCTAGCAATACACATCAAATTGAGCATGTGCAGCTTGTCCCCAAACCTCTGTTCTGAGCATGTGCAGAAGGGCTACAGGTTCAGTCTGTCTTATCAGGACATTTGAACAAGAGGAGGAGCAGAGAAGAAAGGATCAAACAGCCCTTTCACACAATGCAGAGGATTAACCCCTTAGGTTCCACAGTGAGTATAACAAGCATGCTTTACTGCATATACAGACTGATTGTACTGTTGTGGGTTTAGTAACACTTTAAGCTCCTTTTATTATTTCATATGCCTTCATTTATATTTTAATCTGCACTGACCAAGCTGTCCAGCAAAAGCAACAGGTTTACAACTTTGTTGTATGATTTCACCATAGAACAAACAGTGTTGTCACCCTCTTACAGGAAGTGGAAAAATAACTGAGTTACTGGCAGGACTTATTGGAGAGCTCTAGCTCTGACTCAGCAGTGGGGATGTATCAGACCTCTGCAGAGAGCCTGCTGCTTCCACGCAGCATCCTTCTCTGCAGCATGCTGGAAGGGGACAGGTTTTTCTACTAAGGCTGTGGCTGCTTTCTAATGAAAACAAACTGTAAGGCTAGTATAACAGTGCGTGAATGTGCGCAAACATGCGTTGTTAACGGAATCCCAAACGATGCAAGCAGTAGCGCATTTTTTCACAAGAAGCTCAAAGCCCAAGAAGGTGCATGAGCCAATTTGCCACATTTGTCATGTGGAGGGGAGCTCATTGAAGTGAAAGGGCTGCCCTATGGGTGTAGTGCGACAATGATAAAAACCCATGCGTCATTATGTGAATGGGGCCTAGGATTTCACACATCTTACTATATTGGTGGACCAAAAATGTATTTAGCTGATTTGATCTGAAAGCTTTAACACCTAGCCTACAGGGCACTTATACCCCCTTCCTGCCCAGGCCAATTTCCAGCTTTCAGTGCTGTGGCACTTTGAATGACAATTGCGCGGTCATGCAACACTGTACCCATATGAAATATTTATAATTTTTTTTGTGACAGATAGAGCTTTATTTTGGTGGTATTTAATCACCTCGGGGTTTTTTATTTTTTCTTAAACCAAAAACCACTGAAAATTTTGAAAAAAAAAGTTTTTTCTTAGTTTTTGTTATAAAATTTTGTAAATAAGTGATTTTTCTCCTTCGCTGATGTGCGCTAATGAGGCTGCAGTGATGGGCACTGATAGGCTGCACCAGGAGCGGACTGACCCATTTGGAAACTCGGGCACTGCCTGAGGGCCCGGGGTCAGTAGGGGGCCCCATGAGATGCCCCTGGTACCTTTTTCATAGGCTTTTTTGAGTTTGGGCAAGGACACAGGGGACACAGGGGCCCCATGACACCCTATTGCCCGGGGGCCCCATGAGTTGTCAGTCTGCCCCTGGGCTGCACTGATGGACACTGATAGGTGGCACTGATGGGCACTGATGAGGAGGCACTGGTAGGTGGCACTGATGGGCATTGACAGGCATCACTGATGGGCACTGAAAGGCAGCACTGATATATGGCACTGATAGGCAGCACTGACGGGCACTGATAGGCGGCACTGACGGGCACTGATAGGCGGCACTGATGCGCACTGATAGGCGGCACTGACTGGCACTAATAGGCGGCACTGACTGGCATTGATAGGTGGCACTGATTGGCAGCACTGATAGGTAACACTGATTGGCATTGATAAGTGGCACTGACTGGCACTGATGGGTGACACTGAAAGGCAGCTCAGATGGGCACTGATATGTGGCATTGATGTGGCACTGATGGGCACTGGCATGTGGCACTGATGAGCACTGACAGCTGGCACTGATCGACACTGACAGGTGGCACTGCTTGGGCTACACTGATCATCAGGGTACACTGATCATCAGTGCTCTGATGATCAGTGTACATGTCCCCTCCGTGGAATGCCAATTACCGGCTCTCCTCTCGAGCTGTCAGTGTGACAGCTCGAGAGGAGAGAAATGCCGATAACGGCATTTCCCTGTTTACATGTTATCAGCTGTGATTGGACACAGCTGATCACATGACCGAGCCAACATCTTCGGCTCTTTCCGTGGATCGGTGATCCGCTGTGTCCGAAGTACACAGCGCACCGCCGATCGCCACGCAGTTAGAATGGGAGGACATCATATGACGTCCTCCCAGAATGAGAGAACCACCTTGCGTCTGTCATATTACTATATGGCGGGCGGGAGGTGGTTAAAGGATAAGTTCACCTTTTGCCAAAAAATAATAAATGGACATTTTTTGCAGGTAAAAAAAAAAAATAAAATTATAATTTTTTGTTGCAGGAGCAAATCACTGGTGCCATGCAGGTCTTCTGCAGACCTGTCAGTATATCTGCTTGCCTTATGGGATGTACGAACAAGCAGATATTCTGACAGGAAGAATCAATGAACTACCACAGCACTCAACAGCACTATGGTAATGCATTGAAGCTGAATGATGCCCAACTCGGAAACACTGAGGATATACTGTGAGTGCAGAGCATCATGGGCCCACCTCCTGAGGAGGCATCACCACAGCCCTCCAATTCACAGTTTCATGATGCAAAAAATGGCACTGATGTCATCAGGTATGGAAGAGCCACTTTATGCATTATCCAAATCTGCCCACCACAGTAAACTCAGTCTGTACTGTGGGGCAAAAAAGTATTTAGTCTGCCACCAATTGTGCAAGTTCTCCCACTTACAAAGATGAGAGAGGCCTGTAATTGACATCATAGGTAGACCTCAACTATGAGAGACAAAATGAGAAAAAAAATCCAGACAATCACATTGGCTGATTTGGAAAGAATTTATTTGCAAATTTTGGTGGAAAATAAGCATTTGGTCAATATGAAAAGTTCATGTCAATACTTTGTTATATATCCTTTGTTGGCAATGACAGAGGTCAGACGTTTCCTGTAAGTCTTCACAAGGTTGGCACACACTGTTGCTGGTATGTTGGCCCATCCTCCATGCAGATCTCCTCTAGAGCAGTGATGTTTTGGGGCTGTCGCTGGGCAACATGGACTTTCAACTCCCTCCAAAGGTTTTCTATGGGGTTGAGATCTGGAGACTGGCTAGGCCACTCCAGGACCTTGAAATGCTTCTTACGAAGCCACTCCTTCATTGCCCGGGTGGTATGTTTGGGATCATTATCATGTTGGAAGACCCAGCCACGTTTCATCTTCAATGCCCTTGCTGATGGGAGGAGGTTTGCACTCAAAATCTCACAATACATGGCCCCATTCATTCTGTCCTGTACATGGATCAGTAGTCCTGGTCCCTTTGTGGAGAAACAGCCCCAAAGTATGATGTTGCCACCCTCATGCTTCACAGTAGGTTTGGTGTTCTTTGGATGCAACTCAGCATTCTCTCTCCTCCAAACACGACGAGTTGTGTTTCTACCAAACAGTTCTATTTTGGTTTCATCTGACCATATGACATTCTCCCAATCCTCTTCTGGATCATCCAAATGCTCTCTAGCAAACTTCAGACGGGCCCGGACATGTACTGGCTTAAGCAGGGGGACACGTCTGGCACTGTAGGATCTGAGTCCCTGGTGGCGTAGTGTGTTACTGATGGTAGCCTTTGTTATATTGGTCCCAGCTCTCTGCAGGTCATTCACTAGGTCCCCCCCGTGTGGTCCTGGGATTTTTGCTCACCGTTCTTGTGATCATTTTGACCCCAGGGGGTGAGATCTTGCGTGGAGCCCCAGATCGAGGGAGATTATCAGTGGTCTTGTATGTCTTCCATTTTCTAATTATTGCTCCCACAGTTGATTTGTTCACACCAAGCTGCTTGCCTATTGCAGATTCAGTCTTCCCAGCCTGGTGCAGGTCAACAATTTTGTTTCTGGTGTCCTTCGACAGCTCTTTGGTCTTCACCATAGTGGAGTTTGGAGTGTGACTGTTTGAGGTTGTGGTCAGGTGTCTTTTATACTAATAACATGTTCAAACAGGTGCCATTGATACAGGTAATGAGTGTAGGACAGAGGAGCCTCTTAAAGAAGAAGGTACAGGTCTGTGAGAGCCAGAAATCTTGCTTGTTTGTAGGTGACCAAATACTTATTTTCCACCATAATTTGCAAATAAATTCT